GAAGCAACTTCAGATTACAAAAAGCAGCTCCAATTTTTTTCGAAATATGACCGCGATTCTTAAAACTGTTATCGATAAGAAGTCCCAAATTCCTCGCTACAGCGATTTGCTCAACAATTCGACTTTTTTTCTAAAAAGTATCACTAAACTTTTATCAGCATTCAATTTCAAGGAGTGCATTCGAGCATAACAAAATAAACTTTCGAGATCATTATTGATCTTAACCAAAGCATCATCTAACTCTTCCACTTCAAAACTTAAGTATAACTGCGTATCGTCCGCATACATATGAATATTACAGAAATTTATAGATTTGGGTAAGAACGCGGTATAAATACAAAATAATAACTTCCACAATATACAGCCCTGCGGCACACCCATCTCCAGCAGCAAGGGTGCAGATATACAATTCAGTAATTTAACTGACTGTAGACGATTTTCTAAGTATGTACAAGTATAAAGTACATATTTAGGTAGGAGCATACTTAGAATTGCTACATGGTCTTGTTCTTTTATGTCAGTAGGTGTCAGGTAAACTTTACAGAAAATTTTGTGTCTTAGGCGGCCTCTGGCGACGCATTCACACAGTATATTCAGCAGTCTCTGACTCATCGTTGCAAAGTCGACAAGTTTGATCCTTAGCTTGTTCAATATGGAAGAGGAGGTATTTTAGAAACTTCTTTGGTTTTGTTTTGCGCTGGAGTTATCATAGTCTTCACCTGTCTGTAACCTGGAAGTTCTTTCCAGCGTAAGCCTACCGTTGAGTCGTTCCAACTATTGATTACCTGTTTTAAGTGGCTTTTTTGCAGTCCACAGCCGGGTTGGACTCCAATCTCTTTTGCCAGCTTTTCCGCTTTTTCATTGCCCTCAATGTCTTTGTGACCTGGAACCCACCATAGAGTAACATCATTGCCCCTAGCGAGTTCTCTTAGGTTGCTGGTACACTCTCTGATCAGTGCGGAGTCACACGTGTAGGCCTGAATTACCTTTAGGGCGACCCGACTGTCTGTGAATATGTTTATGGATGCACCGTTCTGTTTAAATATAACCTTATACGGCTGCTCGAAATTATATACTGTCAGTATAAGGTCCGTTTTAATTTCAATCAAGTGGTTTAGATATATGGGTCCTTGAGGATTTCGAGATGTCCTCTGAGGTTATCCTGCATCAACTTGAGTGAAGAGAATATTTTTAGTGATAAGGCACTTAAAGCTGCCTCCTTTTGCATGTATAAATGAAGTGGTGTGAGACCGAGTAGGGCTTCAAGAGCAACCGCTGTCGTACAAGATCTCATTGCACCCGTTATATTAAGACATGCTAACCGCTAGATTTGTGCCAGCTGTTGTTGTGCTGTCTTATGCTTTCTTTTTGGCCACCAAACCAATGAGGCATAGGCGACCATGGGTCTGATTATTGCTACGTAGGCCCAGTGAAACATTCGTGGTTTAAGACCCCAATTACTTCCAAGTCGCATCTGATTAGCCATCATGGCTTTTTTCCTCACCTTGACTATGTGGGAGTTCCAGTTTAATTTATTGTCTAGTATTACCCCTAGGTATTTGATTTATGACTTTATTTTTATTCAAATATCACAATATTTTATCTCATTAGCTGCTAATAAGANTTACGAATTTCAGAAGGCAGTCCATTCCACAGCGCAATCGACTGTACTGTAAATGATCTATGATAAATTTCAGTGCTATGAACGGGAAATGTAAGAATAGTATCAGAACGTGAACGAGTAGCAAGCTCATGAGTTGATAATTGCTGGAACCTATCTGATAAGTACTTTGGGGTGCAGTTATGAAGGATTTTAAATAAAATGGTTAATAAACGAAAGGATCTACGTATCTCACAGGTTAACATCTGAATGTAATTGCGATACGGCGTTACATGCTCAAATCTATTTAGGTTAAATATGAACCGGATACAATTATTTTGTAGCTCAGAAGAGTCGCCGAGAGATTGGGATAAACCGCGTCCGCATAGTCAAAGTGAGGAAATATAAGAGAGTAACAAAGATTACGACGCACCACAGGAGAAAGAGAGCAGCGAAGTCTTTTTAAAGAGTGGAAGCAAGCATAGACTTTTCTGCAAACATGTCGGTAGGTGTCCGGTAAACTTTACAGAAAATTTTGTGTCTTAGGCGGCCTCTGGCGACACATTCACACAGTATATTCAGCAGTCTCTGACTCGTCTTTGCAAAGTCGATAAGTTTGATCCTTAGCTTGTTCAATATGGAAGAGGTGGTATTTTAGAAACTTCTTTGGTTTTGTTTTGCGCCGGAGTTATCATAGTCTTCGCCTGTCTGTAACCTGGAAGTTCTTTCCAGCGTAAGCCTACCTTTGAGCCCTTCCAACTATTGATTACCTGTTTTAAGTGGCTCTATTGTAGTCCACAGCCGGGTTGGGCTTCAATCTCTTTTGCTAGCTTTTCCACTTTTTCATTGCCCTCAATGTCTTTGTGACCTGGAACCCACCATAGAGTAACATCATTGCCCCTAGCGAGTTCTCTTAGGTTGCTGGTACACTCTTTGATCAGTGCGAAGTCACATGTGTAGGCCTGAATTACCTTTAGGGCGGCCCGACTGTCTGTGAATATGTTTATGGATGCACCGTTCTGTCTAAATATAACCTTATACGGCTGCTCGAAATTATATACGGTCAGTATAAGGTCCGTTTTAATTTCAATCAAGTGGTTTAGATATATGGATACTTGAGGAGTTCGAGATGTCCTCTGAGGTTATCCTGCAACAACTTGAGTGAAGAGAATATTTTTAGTGATAAGGCACTTAAAGCTGCCTATTTTTGTATGTATTAATGAAGTGGTGTGAGACCGAGTAGGGCTTGAAGAGCAGCCGCTGTCGTACAAGATCTCATTGCACCCGCTATATTAAGACATGCTAACCGCTAGATTTGAGCCAGCTGTTGTTGTGCTGTCTTATGATTTGTTTTTGGCCACCAACCCAGTGAGGCATAGGCGACCATGGGTCTGATTATTGCTACGTAGGCCCAGTGAAACATTCGTGGTTTAAGACCCCAATTACTTCCAAGGCGCATCTGATTAGCCATCATGGCTTTTTTCCTCACCTTGACTATGTGGGAGTTCCAGTTTAATTTATTGTCTAGTATTACCCCTAGGTATTTGATTTACGACTTTATTTTTATTCAAATATCACAATATTTTATCTCATTAGCTGCTAATAAGATCTTTTATTTTAAATAAGAAGATGCGCCATTTAATGTATTCCTAAATATGGTATTGATGAAGATCAGATAGAGATATGACGCAGTTTTAATAGAGACTTACCTTTGTATAGAAATGTCCTTTTAGAAACAAGATAAAAATTTGAAGCAGAGATGGTTTAAACTTGATGCAGGAATGATAAATTTAAAGTAAATAACCATGTATAATAATTTAAAATAATTATTTCAAACAACTTTAGCTATTAATTTATTTTATTGCTTACAACTATATTGTTATTAACTGTTAATTATAATTATATAATACTTGATAATAAAAGAATTTTTCATTACCAGTTTTTTTAAATGATAAATTAAAAAATAATAAAACTATTTGTAGTTATAAAATGAGTATAATTAATTTGATGAAATAGGTGTAGGAAAATAAAGGCATAATTGTTTGTACTATGTAATCATTTAATGTATTTTCAAAAAAAATTAATTTAAAATGAAATATTTAATTCACACTAAAGCACTGTTTTTTAAACGCTACTTAGGCCTCTGCAGCCTTATACTCTACGAACTTGTTTTTTTCATTAATAGTTTTATATTTTGTTTTAACTACTATCGTTGTACCATTTTACAATTAGAACTAAATATCGCTTTTGTACACACACGTTCACTAAAATTAACGGCGATTCCAACTGCCGAACAAAATCGCAAATTATTGTTTTAAGAAAATTAAACCCAATAACCTAATTCTTTTTTATTAACCTGACTCGAAACAAGACGTAAAAAACGAGAATCTGCATTTAATTTATAACTATTAATTTAAACCGTTTCGCACACAATCAAAAAATTAATGTTAAATTAATATCTCAACTTAGTTGATTTTTATAACAGGCATTCAATATCAAAGTGCATACAAAAGAACGAACGCCTTAGTTATAACCAAGTTTTTTTTATCTTTACACGTTTTACAAATATATTCGCTATTATATAAGTATACAAATACTAAAAGTTAAGTTTATATTTTTCTTCATCATCATGCTCTTATTTGTTTAATCACAGATTATTTGTATATAAATTAAAGTACTCATCACACAGTTTAAAATACTTGGTGTAGATTTTATCATTAAAAAGCTTTTTTAAACTGTTTTCATTTCATTTTGAGTTACAAATAGCTTTAAGCACTTTTAGTATCTGCGTGTACAACTTCATTTTATTTTCGGCAAATTTCTAAGGATTAACATTTTTGTAAGTCTCTGCTTGTATGATACTAATAATTTTAATCTATATAAGGGACCGATTTTGAAAATTTCATTAAAATAATATACATATGTAAGAAGTATAATAAATAAAAATAATTTTGGGACCTGGTTTATTAAAATAAACATAATAGAGGACACATTTTCCCATTAAAACATTCTAAGAAACGCAATAAATTAATGTAAACGCGCACTATTCCAAAGTATTGAAATCAACGGTAAAATCGGATACTTGGTACAATTTAATATAATTTTTATTAATTTAATAAAGATAACTTTTTGTTTGTGTTTCATCCTCTCAAAATTCATATTTAATCTATTTTTAAAGCAACTTTTCTATAGCGATTAATTGAATTATTATGTAATTACAAGGTAATTTAAACAAATTTCTACAATCAACGGAGAATGTTGTTTTTATTGATTATTATTTCTTATTATCATATGATTATTACTACTTCTCACCATTGCATCATCGATTTTGTTAAATTTTCTTTTCTTTTCATTATCCGAAACTAATTAAAGAAAAAAAACTGATTTTGTCCGATCGTCTATTTACAACAAATAACAATTAGTAACAAACAAAAACAGTCTTTGGTATCGTTAAATAATAGTAATAATAATCTTTAAGTACTCTAGTCGCGTTCTCTCCTTTACCTTCCTTTCAAGCTTTCATTTTTTTATATTAAATTACTCAGTTAATAAGTATCCGCGTTTCTGTTTTCATTTCAAGTGTCGACATTAGATGAACAAAAATACATAATATACACTCCTCTTTGAAAATTCTTTAAATTAATAATTAACAAAAGTTGCAAAGACACACAGTATAACCCGCATTTCTTGGTATCACTTTTATTGTAAGTAAGCCTATGATTTTTCTTCACATTTTTTTCTCAATTCAATCATCATCATCACTCTCCTCCAGTCACAGCCACTTCCCTGAAGATGTTTCCATCGTTCGGCAATCCACCCGTCTTTTGTAACATGGGCGAATCTGGTAAACTATCGGCCGAATCGCGATCTTTATCATCGTCCTCGTAATCATCGTTTGCGTCGCGAACCTGATGTTCTTCCTCTTCAGGTATTGTTTGCGAGACATCATCAGTCATACTCAGAGCTGAACTTGAATCGCTTTCATGTAGTTTAGAATCCTAAAAGATAATTATAATTACATATATATCAACTGAATATATATATTATAGGTCGCTATTACACTTTAATGTTAAACAACAAAGTACATTTCCCGATTTTTAAACATTTTTGTGTGAAGTTTTATTACTGAAAGTTCTAAATAAAATTGTGTTGTTAAATTAAAAATGATTCATATGAGCGAAAACCTCCCATATGCGATGGAAAATATCAATAAATTTTTTACTCCAATTATTAATATATTATATTACACCAGCGTTTCTCCACGTGGGCAATATAGGCATTTATTAATTTATTGTTTCATTATTTCTATTATTAATTAAAGTATCCTCTTCTGAAGGNCACATTCAACAAAAGTTAAAGCAGGATACTCTACGATGTTAGAAACTAAAGTACATAGAACATACCTGGATTAAGTGCGTAGATTTAAAAATGATAAACTTCCCATTGGGTTGGAAATACTTTTGATGACCCTCAGAACAGAAAAAGTTATTCAAATTTCACTAATTATGACACTTGTTGAAAAATCTGTGTTGATAGAGTTCGTTTGGGTAGTGATAAATTTGTTGGGAAATAAAAGGTCAACCGACTACCGTCAACACGTTGAATAATCTATGCTCCAATTCCAGCAATTTAGATGGAACACGAGCGTTAAATTTGAATATGAATTTTGGCGGTTTAAGCGAAAAGGAAGGGGAACGATTACATTAGAATATTCACACTATGGGTGAGCGATACCAGGGTTACAGAAATGCAAATATAATTTCTGATTACTGCTGGAGAATTCAATGCAGTACTCCTGGGTGAGTCATAGAAAAAAGTCGTATAAAGAGAGTTTTATACAAATCAGTTTTGTATAATACTACATTTTAACTTGAAAAGTGATATATTATGTATTTGTAAAAAATTATCCTTTTCAATTGCAATAAGTAGAGGTGTTATTGGATTGCTGTTTTAACGGAAGTTTAAATTTGAAAAGGCAATGTAAATTGAATGGCTAACATTTATAACATGTTTACAAATATCACTAATTAGTATCGGTATTTTGAAACATATGTTTGTGTGTCATGTCTACGGCGTACAACATGATTTAATTGAAATAGTATAAAACTAAATCGGATTTATTTGCGTATTTGTGTACGATGAAAGGATTCATTTATGTTTAGAAAACTCGAGCGCGCGCAGTGTTATCATAAGAACAATGTTTCTTCAGTAGCAGAATGACTTCTTTGATATTTTCAAAGAGTTCATTTCCCAGCGTGCATTAATGGAATAGGTCTTTACATTTCATTTTTAGCACATTCTCCGAATCCAATTTTCCTAAAGAGTTGAGAATATCACAAAAAGTAAGTTCTTTTATTGTGATTTAGTTACAAATAAATTATAGAGGGTTTTCAGCCACAGCGATAGATATATTTTAACGTTAAAAAGAGATGGAAATATAAAATCCGATACTGATTTACCTCTAGTTATCATGGGCATAAGCTATTCTGTACGCCCTCGGCGAATTACCGTTGGATTTTGTATTTACAAGTTGTGTCAACCAAAATTCCAAACAAAAATTTTATATGGAGAAACTAATTTCGAAATTTAATTCGATTTGTATTAAAACCTGTCAATTGAAATAATTAATTTTCAAATAATATAGTTTTCAACCAATAAGTACTGTTGTTGAGATAGAAAATCGTTTAAATTTATATGTTTAATTATAGGATTTCAGCACACATTTTCTTTGATATATTATTATACAGTAAAACTAGTAGTTCTAGTTTTAATGTTATTCAGTGCTAGATTGTTGTATATTTTTATTGAACTAAAAGTGGAACTAACACTAGACCAAGAAATATTCGGATTTAGCCGTACGTTTCATAAGACGGCTAAACTCGAATGTTTCTAGTTCTAAGTCTAGTTTTAGTTCTAGTGCTAGTGTTAGCTCTAGTTTTAGTTGTTATTCAGTGCCAGATTGTTGCATATTTTTTCTTGAACTAGCAGTAGAACTAACACTAAACCAGTGGTCCCCCAACTTTTTACTTTTTACTCACGCCTCTCTGACAATGAAGAAAAAATCCTTACTGATAACTTGTACTTTTTATTAACTTATTAAAATTTATTTAACAAAACAATCTAAATATTAAATCATTAATGTGAGGGGTGGTGCCGAATTTCTTCCATAAGATGGGAAATTCTGAGTTGTATTTAAGAGTGCACAACGTAGGTCGCTAGCAACATCAAATTTATTCCGTTGTTTGGTCTTAATGTCCATCAAAATAGAATACCCTTTCTCGCATAAGTAGGTAGTCGAGAAAGGTATATAAAATTTCAAAACTATTTCCACGATTAATGGATAGTTACGATAGCATTTTATGCAAGAAGACGTAATTTCCATATTTTTAAAGTCATCTTTCACTGCTGAATTGTGTTTCAAGTCGATTGCTTGTTCTTGCATGTTTTCTGGAAGGTTGTTTATACATCTAAATTGGGAAAATAGCATTGAAATTCATTAGTAAGGCTTTCTAAATATAATTCTTACATTTTCAACAATGTTACGAAATACTTCTGAGTCCATTAATGATGCAAATTTCGGAAATTATGAAAAATTAGGTACGTCAGCTTGCAGACGACATTTCCACAAAAGTAATGTTTTTTAAAATGCTTAAATAGTATCATGATGGGCAATTATGTTTGCTGAAATGTTGCCTTGCAACTTCAAATTAAGCATGTTTAATACCTCGAAAATATCAGTTGGATAAGCCAATTTAATTTGAAAAGTTTTATCATTTGCGTCAAATAATTCATGTTTTTTATTCTATTTTAAAAACTGCTGTACTTCCATTCGTAATTCAAAAAGTCTGGACAGCATGTCAGACGAAAGCCATTTCATGAGAAATACAATTTTTTTGTTTTCTGTACCAAAATCCGAACTAAGAATTTTAAAAATCCTCGTATTTAAAGCAGAATGACAACTGTAATAGTTATATTTAAACATTCGTTACAATTTTTGGGAAGGGTTTTAGCCGCCAAAGCTTGTCGATGTATGTCACAGTGAATTCCAGTTATGTTGGCCTTTTTTTGTTTTATTAACTTTACAAATCCTGACCGTGATCCCAACATTGACGGAACACCATCTGTGCAAACACCATCAAGTTTGTCCCATGAAAGTTCATATTTAACAAAAAAGTCTGCAATTGCTTTCATAACAACAGCAGCTTTTGATGTACTATTTAATTCCTATAAAAACAGTATCTCATCCGTTATTGCATCGTTACAATAATAATAATACAACATTGAGCAACATCAGTGCTTTCATCACTCTGTATTGCGAAAAAGGCGACTTTCGAACTGCTTCTACTGTTTGAAGTTTTATATCTTTTGCCATTTGATCAATACTGTATTATCGGAAAGTGAATTTGGGAAAGCTTTCTTTTGCTTCCAGTATCAAGTAAAATTTCAGCAGCTTTTAAAAGGGATGGTTTAATTACAGTTTCACCGATGTAATGAGACTTTTTGGGTTTTGCGATAAACAAAGCGAGTTCATAAGAGGCTTCCACAACTTTTTGATTTGTTTGAGAAACTGTTCACCAGTATTGTCTAGCTTGGAAAAACTCTTTTGGTTTGTCTTTTAATGAACGATGTTTTAAAAATAGGTGTCGTTGATTACTAAGAACGTCGTAACATATTATTCATTGCGGACAGTTGATTTCGTTTTTACTATCGTTGAAAAACCATACTTGATGTATACATCAAGATATTTTCCTTTCTTATTAGAAGTCATATTGAAGCACTTCCCAGTTTGGGAATCACTGCACTAAACCTACAACTAGAAAGTTCTAGGTCTGATAGTTCTAGTTTTAATTGTTATTCACCGCTGACGTCACGAACCGGCTTTCAAGCTGTGCACTTGTTCCGTCATGGAATAGACCCATGACGGGAACGACGAATCGCTTATAGTTCTTGAGAAATAAATTTTTGAAATGATCGAAAATTTTTTCGTATTTTGCAATTTTCGCCGATTTTAAGTTTTAAAAATTCGTATAAAATCCATTTCTTGGAATATGAGTATGAAAATTTCACAAAGTGTTAATAAAAGTGTCCTCTTTGTAATGAACCAACCCGTTTTAAAAAATAACTTTTAATTTTTGAGAAAACAATACTTGAAGTTTTGATAAAATTTTCGATGTTGCAATTTTCATCGATAATTTTCAAAATTCGCTATAAAATTAATTTCTTGAAGGATCCTTGTGGAAATATCACCAATTATTAATTAAAGTATCCTCTTTTTAATGCAAAAAGCCGTTTTGAAAAATCACTTTCAGTTCTTGAGAAATAAATTTTTGAAATGATCGACAATTTTTTCGAATTTTGCAATTTTCGCCGATTAAGTTTTAAAAATTCGTATAAAATCCATTTCTTGAAATATGAGTTTGAAAAAGAGTTTGTTCTTTGAGTTTGTTCCCAAAGTGTTAATAAGAGTGTCCTCTTTCCAATGAACCAACACGTTTTGAAAAATAACTTTTAGTTTTTGAGAAAGCAATATTTGAAGTTTGGATAAAATTTTCGTCGATATTTTTCAAAATTTGCTATACAATTAATTTCTTGAAGGATCCTTGTGGAAATATCGCCAATTATTAATTCATTTTTATTCAAATATCGCAATAATGTAGCAATGTGGCACCATATTGGCCGGATAACCGGATTCGGCCGCAGGGGATGTCGAATATACGGTTTCCGGCTTTTCGCAAAATCACGTTCCATCACTAATTTAGAATATATGTGCATTTATTTTAAAGAAAACTCCAAAAGCATTAAAGAAACGTATGGGTACTTTCTGTGAATCCCCTTTTTCTGTCGCGTCAATTTCTTTTATGTATATTACGTTCTAAACTAGTTGCAGACATTCAGTGCTTTGTTTAGTTTTATTATTGTACGTTGTGTTTCGACACTTTCTTGTATAAGCATATTAAATAACAAGCTCGCTTATTCTCGCTTTTGTCTGTTCCTCAGA